GAGAAAGGAACCCTTCTCCATTGTTGGTGGGAGTGCAGACTGGTGCAACCACTGTGGAAATCAATATGGAGATAGCTCAAAGAGCTGGGACTAGAGGTTCCATTTGACCCAGCCATCCCTCTGCTGGGTATCTTTCCAAACGAATTAAAAGAATCATATCACAGTGATATATGCGGACCCATGTTTATAGAGCACAGTTTGTAATAGCTAAAACTTGGAAACAGCCCATCTGCCCATCAGTTGGAGACTGGATTAAGAAGATGTGGTTTTTCTATAAAATGGAATACTGCTCAGCCATAAAGAATAAGAAATTAGATTCATTTATAGGAAAATGGATACATATTGAGGATATACTCCTAAGTGAAATAAATAAGTCACACATGTATAAATAACTACTAGTTACTCTGGTGTGAAAAACTATAATAGTACATAAGATCCTAATGATATAATTGACAGTGTGAAATAGGAAGAAAAGGGCTAAAGGTGTAGGGAAAGTGGGAAGGGTAAGGAAAAGGTAATAAGGGAAAAGAAAAAAATATGAGAAAATAAAAAAATGGAAATGAAGTGTTTGTAAAGGAGGAGGGGAGGAGAGGGTGAAAGGAGGGCAGGGACAAGGGGAAAAATGAGAGCCAAGACCTGTCATGTAAAGGTACAAGATACCAATGATGACTGTAACTACTGTATACCTAAAATGTACCAATAAGCTCAATGAGAGAAACAAAAACTTGAGTTAACCTAAATGTTCATTAGAATATAAGTAGCTAAACAAATTGTCATATCCATACAATGGCATTTTGCTCCACAGTAAATAAAAGAACAAACTACTGCAAGCAACATGGTTGAATCAACATATTCTGTGAAAAAAGCTAGACCAACAAAATAATATGTTATGTGTGATTCCAGTTATATCAGGTCCTAGGAGAGGCAAAATGAATATTTTTGACAGGAAGCAAATCAGTGGTAGTTGTCTGGAGTAAAGACTGCAAATGTGCACAAAGTGGCATTTTGGGGTGATAAAAACTGTTCTGTATTTGATTTTTTGTTTTGTTTTTGAGTGGTTACACAGGTGTATACATTTGCTAAAATGTATCAAACTATTTTTATATGGGTACATTTTATTGTATGTAAATTATGCCTCAGCAATTTCCTTTATGACTTGGCCTTTTGTGACTTTTTTTTCCTTCCCTTTCTCTCTTAAATTCACATATCATCTGTTATTCTAAATTTACCTAGTATTTGTTTGGTCTTTTCTTATTCCTTGCTTCTTTCATTTGTCATCCTGTCTTCTTCTAGGCCAGTGGTGGTGAACCTTTCAGAGATTGAGTACACAAACTGCAACTCAAACCCCACTTATTGCAAAGTGCCAACACTGCAATTAAACCTGAATACTGAGGTTTTGGTTTAGAAAAAACAACTTATACATTAACATCTTTTGTCTTAAAAGCAAAACACAATAACAGAAGTTTCAGTGATACAAACAGCTTTTTTTATTGAAAGGTAAAAATTTGCACTTGGCTTGATTTTGTGCAATTAATGTGATCTTTGCTGTTGTGTGTATGCTGATAATTTCTCAAACCTTGGTTGGGCTGACTTGGCTCACATATCAACTGAGAGGGCTCTGCGTGCCCATTATTAAACATATGCAGTAGGTTTGCTGCCACTGTACTAGACTGTAAGCTCTTGCTCATCTTTGTTTCCCCTCTAGAACCTTGTTTGTTATAATCTTTCAGTAGGTGCTTATTAAATGAGTAATCACACTCCTAAATGTAGTGGCACGCACTATAATCCCAGCTACTCCAGAGGCAGAGGCAAGGAAGACTGCAAGTTCAAAATAAGCCTGGGCAATTTGGGGAGACCCTTCTCAAAATTTAAAAACTTAAAAAAGTGTGAGAAATGTAGCCCAGCGATAAAGCATTTGTCTAGTATGTGTGTGGCCCTGAGTTCAGTCCCTGGTACTACAGAAAGAAAAATAGATCAGAGCTACAAAGCAACTAATAATAATGTACATCTTTTACACAGTCCTGTTTTTCTTTCTATAGCATTAGGTGGTAGACACATGGAAGGTGAGTATTCCTGGGCCCAGTGAGAAGTTACATTTAAGGCAAGGCACTGTAGACTAGTTGCAAAAGGCTGAAACATTTAGGTAGATTGGACTGACAATGTATTTGATTCTAGCAATGAAAAAAAAAGTAGAACCAGAAACCTAGTGCTAAAGGTATTATGATGCCTTTCTATCTAACTTATTACAATATAGACTAAGAGAGGTTAAGTAGCCTGCCCAACACACCACACCACTCACAAATTATAAAGATGGAGTTAAGATTAGAAGCCATATTTCTATCAAGTTCTATATCTAGAATTTACAAAGTGGAGAATTGGCTACCTTTGGAAGTTCTACTGAGTTGCCCCAGGCAAGGCTTCTCTTAGGTTGGAATCTGAAGTTTAGACATTTAAAACATAAAAAAATAAAACAGGGCTATAGCTAGCTAGCTAGTACTTCCAGTTTTAAACCTCAGGGAAAGGTCAAAACTCGGCTTCTGTATCCCTAGGGATTATTTTACTTTTATATGTAATTAGAAACTGTTTTGTATACTTATTGAGGAATTTTCTACAGTAAGAATGTGCTGTAACTTTCTGAGGAGTCGTTAGTATGTAACCTAAAATAAGGTTGAATTCCACAGGAATGTTAAAACAATCTAAATGGATTCTTTTTCACTGTTGTCTGTGAATTTATTGGGGGTTCTGAAGTGGCCACAGTTGCTATTTGGTGTTTCACTGGCTCTTCATTTTATTTTTTAAACAATATTAAATCAGTTGTATAAACTAAAGTGATTCCAAATGGTTATTTTTAATTTTAATGATGAAGAATATTGAAATAAAAAAGCCAGCTTTGAGAGTCATAGGAAAGCATGCTCCTTACCAGTATCTTTTGAATGAAAGAATAATAGTATGGGTGGTAGTGATGAAAGAATAGAAAATGCTGCTATTTAATGTATTCTCTCTCCGTACGTGGATGCAGTTTCCCAACTTTACAAAGGAATTAACCATCAGCACCACATCTCTACTTTCCTATGGATTGGTCTTTTTTGTAAAGCAGCCGCTTAGTTTTGTTAGTAAAAATATTTTATTTTAAAATATATTTGTAAGGGCCGGGCACTTAGCTCAATGGTTCCAGCACCTGCCTTGTAAGCACAAGGGCCCGAGTTCAATCCCCAGTACCAATCAATCAATCAATACATAAATAAAATATATTTCTAGACACTTACTCCTAGTAGGCGTGGGAAAATGTACATTACTTCAATTCTTTAAAATTCCTTCAAAGAAAGCATTCAATCTTGATCTATGTTTTTGAGCTAAGAGGAAAGCAATAAGATAGGAGGAAGGAGAAAATCGTTGCTTTGAGGGGAGGAAAGTCTCTGTCCTTTGTTGACACCTTAGCTTCTGCATTAGTCGTAGGTCCCTTCCCTTGGCCATGTGGAGACCAAAGTAATAGTGTCATCCCTTTGCAGGTTCATAAAAGTACAGTGGAAAGAGGGAAAAAAGAACTAATACAGAAAAATGTAGGACTTCTTTCTCCCTCTAGGTTTTACAGTTGTAATTTTAGATTGATAATAATCAGTGGTTTCTGGATATTTTTCCTCCACTTTTTGCTCTTTTTTTTTTTTTTTAAGTGTATGTTTGTGCTTTTTCAGTTCAGTTTTTTGGGGAGCAGTGGATTTATTTTGTGGTACTGGGGAGCAAACCCTACTGTATCCCTGGTCCTTTTTAAATTTTTATTTTGTGATAGGCTATTGCTTAGCTGTCCAGGATAACCTCAAACTTGAGATTTTCCTGCCTCATCCTTCCAAGTAGCTGAAATTGTAAGCATGCAGCACCACACCTAGCTCAAAGTTTTGTTACAGTTTTTAATGTTATAATGAAAGTTAACCGAGCATGGAAAGCTAGTAGATACAATTAATTTCAATGCTAGGAGGGGAAAAACTTCACCAATTTAGGCCTGAACTGGGACTTAGAAGTTTACTGACAGTGGACAGATGAACTGCTGAGGTTTACAGTGGTGGAAGCACTCAGTAATGAGTTAAGTCATTAAAGAGTTTAGAAGGCTATAGTAGAAACGGTTTCTAGACCAACTTAACAGAAGCGGATGTAGAGAGTCAAAGAACAAAAGATTCCACTGATGCTTCTTTACACAAAGTTCTTTGGAGTGTCCCAGGGCCACAGTCAATCACTTCATCACCTCCATGCTAGAGATCTATCTACAGGGAGTGGGAGTGTTAGGATACCTGCCTTTTCTTAGAACTCTGCTTGGTCAAATAAGGAAGTTCTGGTAAGATTTTTATTTTTCATCTGCTATTGGGCTTTTGGTCCCTTCATTAATTTTTTTCTATATCCATATATAGTTTGATGGCTTTCAAAGCATTTTTATGTATCCCATTTAATTTAGAGGACTTTTTATATAGGCAAATATTATTTGTATTTCACAAGTAAGGAAAATGAGGCTCAGAAAGAGGTTAAGTATTTGTTGAGAGCCACACAATTAATAATGGAGCTAAATTAAGAATTTATTTAGCATGTCTTAACTATCCTTAGATCCAATTTGAGTTACTAACAAATTGAATAATCTATTATCAATCTGTAAATGCTTTAAAGGTGCTAATGTTTAATAACATTTTATTTTGTTTTGTAGGAGAAAATGATATAAACTGGTTCATCAGTGACAAAGATGTTGAGGTAAAATCAAATTGTTTTTGATTAATGGGTTAATGCTGTCTTTGATACATAGTTTGCCTTTATTTCATTTATGATTTTTCAAACTGAAACCTTTTATAAAATTGTAGTGATTCAAATGACTTATAATTGAAAGTTTGATTTGAGTATCTGGGTGACTTAACTTTTCAGAAATTTTATTCAGCCTTGAATTTTTTTTCAAAAAATTTCCATTTTGAATTACACAACTACTAGCAACAAACTATACCATACATTCTTTAGGCATATTATAAGATATCTTCATAATTGATTGTCTTCATTTTCAGCCTTGATTTTTGTCAGCCAGTTAATAGTCATAATGACTTAGTTCCCTTTTCCCTTCTCTCTGTTCTTGACCTTCATAGCCCATATGGCCTGGTACCACTAAAGATCAACACCGGAAATAACTGCTTCTTCTGTGTAAGGAAATGGTTAGTCTATATTTAGAATGTGGCAGATGCTATAAGAGAGAATAATTTACAACTTGATAGAAATTTTAAAAAATAACTAGATTGGAGATAACTGGTCCACTTAGCCAGTTCAGAAAAAAGATGAAGCTTTTTCAAAGATGGAATTCTACCAAACAAGATAAAAGCATGGTTATAATTTACATATTCTTTGGGTAGTCCATATGACAGGTATTGGTAATATTCTCTCATACATATTAGAAGTTGACTAGAATATTAGAATTATATCACTGTGCAGCAGAATGAATTTTTAAAGGACTCTGGTGGATGGAAATTATCTCAATCCCTTTTAGAAATTATAATCCTGTTTGGTAGGCAATAACAGTAAATCTGTGCTGTTCAAAAGAAGGGGTGGGCCAAGGATTTAGCTCAGTGGTTCCACTGCCTGCCTTGCCTCATAAGCACACAGACCCAAGTTTGATCTCTGATACGAAAAAAAAAAAAAAAAGAAGAAGGGATGCATTTGGTAGTTATGTGGTTCTTCTACTTTATAAAAGACAAAGTCATAAAAACACCATCCCCTAACTGAAAATTAAAGCAGCCCTCTCATTTAGAAATATATGATATACAATTACGTATAGAAATCAGCCATGATTTTGGCTCTGAATGACACCACAATGTCTAAAGAGAATGAGAATTCATGAAGTTTTTTGTTGCTGGGTTTAAAGAGATATGAACCTTAATTCTCTTGCCTTATCAAAGTAATGGGACTGACTTGAAGTTCAATGTTTCTTTACTCAAAGATAGTTATCTTTGAAAAGAAGAATAGATGGTTTGTATTAATCACAGTGAACAATTTTTTTAATTCTTGATTTTTCCTCCCTTTAGGCCCAGATAGGTAATAACAGATCGTCAGGAAGATGGGCCCGCCGATACTATTCAGCCAACAAAAACGTTACCTGCAGAAATTGTGATAAATGTGGCCATTTGTCAAAAAATTGCCCCTTACCGCAAGTACGTGAAACTCATAATATTTCTTTCCACATTGTTAAAATCAAAATCTTATGGTTAGAACCCCATAACCTTACATTCAAGACATTTATAATTGTATGTTAAATTTCATGTATCTCACAGTCTTGGTTGAGGGAAAAAATAATATATTTAGCATCAGAAAAATCTGTAATTAATTTCAGCTTCTCATTATTTGTTGTATGACTTTAGGTAAATCATTTAACTCTGTGTCTCGGTGTTCTTGTCTGTAAAAGGAGAAGGTTGAGTTAAGATGATCCCTAAGACCCCTTTTACCTCTAAACTATCCTATGAGATAGCTTGTTTCATCATGAGAGATTTTCATTATTAGTTATAATTTTAGCCATTTATAAATTTTTATGTAATTGAAGCAACACAGAGCTAAAGCTCTTAGATATTCCATATTCATACTAAACTCTAAAAACACATATTCCTTCTATTACTTCTTCTCTCCCCCAAATGACTATCTTTCAAATAGTGAGAACTGCTCATGTTTCCTCTGTTTTTCCTTCTCTAGGTAAAATAGCCCCTTCTGTTATCTTCCTCCTGTGGCTTAGATTTCAGATATCCTCACATCCAAAGTAGATATCCTCTACTTTGTGGATTTTCCTATAAAATAAGACATAAGAAGTAAATGCCCATTGATTGTGCATGTAGCTTATAAGTTCAGATAAGTTTGATTTTATAGTTATGCTCAAGATTTGACCTTCATTGGATTCTCAAATTAGTATGACTTTTTATGGAATTATATAGAAAAGAGAATATTAATCTTTTAGCATTTGAGACTATAGTATTTTACTAAAGAGATTTTATTTGTTTGCCACATAGAAAGTCCGTGCCTGCTGCCTCTGCTCTGAGAGAGGACACCTCCAGTATGCCTGTCCAGCCCGCTTTTGCTTAGACTGTTCTTTGCCTATGTCTTCCACTCACAGATGTCTTGAAAGATCTTCCTGGAGAAAACGATGTGACCGATGTGAAATGATAGGCCACTATGCTGATGTGAGTATACCACATATACCAAATTTGTTAGGCTTTGGGGGCACTTGGCCACTTTGTAGCTATCAGTCAGCCTATCTGAAAGAATGTTTGCTCTGCATTGTGTAAATGATAGTCATATCCCTTTGGCCACTGAACACATAAAGTGGTGCAGCTGTAAGTCTCAGGATGGGGATGAATTGTTCATCAAGAGTCAGTATCAACAGATACTTTAAGCCCATGTAAGCCTCCTGCTTGATTTCCTTGCCAAATAAAGGTTGATTTTAAAGAGGTATATAATAAATAACATGTAAAAGCTATGTGCATATTCATGCATATTTACATGAAAATATGTACACACTTAGCAGTTATACATAAGTGTGCATGTAAAACCTGATTTAGTGTTGCCTATTGATAATTTTTGCCAGTATTATAGTCCTAGGCAAGAAAAATAAACCATCTCTTTTTAATTATTCTTATTTTAGGACCTGGGATTTAGCTCAGTGGTTCTGCCACCTGCCTCGCAAGCACAAGGACCCAAGTTTGATCCCTGGTACCCCCCCAAAAAAATAATAAAATAAATAAATATTCTTATTTTATTAGCACTTTTTTTTTAAGATTTAAGAAGCAAACATAATTTAGAAGACATTCCAGTAGCAGCATATTAGAAATATTATGTTGGACATCATTCTAAATGTGTGTGTGCTAAGGAGGACAGTTCTAGTGACAATTTCAGAGGCCAAGAAGGGCTGTTGAACTAAGTAGATACAGCTTTTGATGTGAAATATATAGTTTTCTACTTTCAATTTACTCCCAAGTCCTAATGAATATCTCATTAAGGGTCTGTCATTTTAGCTCTTAATTGCATCCCTTACTACATAGTAACATATGTTTGTTTTGTATTAACAACTAATCAGTTCAGAGTCATTTTTCATACTCATACCTAGGTCCCAATTCTAATTGGCATAAGAAAAGGCTAAGCTCTCACTCTTTTCTCAAGCATTTCTTATCCATTAAAAAATTTGTAGTGATCTTCACTTTAATGTATACTTCCCAAAGACATGATAGAAAACCACTAGTATTTTTCTAATTTTATTTATATTGAAGTTTACTTGTAGCCTTCTGCTCAAAAAAATATGACTCTATTAGAATGAATCTCAGATTAAGACAACTTAGAGTACAAGTGTTTGGAATGTGTTTCTCATATAAATAATATGTCATTGTTGAATGTAATTCTGCCAGCAAATTTATATTTATGCTACCCATTTTTAAAAAACAAATGATGCTATAGTAGCTTTTATATATGTATGTGTGTTTATATATCTGTCTGCATATTTGTGTTATGATAGATCAGACACTGTGCAGTTGTGAAATTTTAAAATATATACATTTATGACTGAATAAACATTGTCAGATTGCTCTTGTAAAAACTACCAACATATCCACCTGCCATCAGTGTTTGTGAGTATAATTTTTTGTTTTTTGGGTTTTTTTTGTTTTGTTTTGTTTTGGGTACAAAAAAGGATCTAACTCTGACCTTGTGCTTGCAAGGCAGGTGGCAGAACCACTGAGCTAAATCCCTGGCTTTTTTTCTTTCTTTTTTGTTTTGGTACCAGAGATCGAACTCCAGACCTTGTGTTTGCAAGGCAGGCAGCAGTGCCACTGAGCTAAATCCCTTGCCCAATGAGTGTAATGTTTTATCTCATCTTCATTTGCCATGGCTGCATCCAAATGATAACTTCTCTCTCTGTATGATACTTTTGGCTTATTTAAGGGTCATAGTTTCTTACAATACTATCCTCTACTTTTCTTTGTCATTTTCATTTTCTTTGTCTTTGAATTTTTTAATGAACTTTCTGCTCATTCACTACCCTGAGTAGCTATCAATTTTCTATCCTTTTATAAATTAAGGAGATCAAGAAACTTTTACTTTATATATTCCCATAGCTACAACATAGGCCTGTGTTTTGTCACAGTACCAGATATGTATTCGCAAAGAGAATTTGTAATGAAAACTGATAAGTCATAGTCAAATCCTTGCTTCAGTGAAAGATTCTTTCTTGACAACTGCTTGAAAACCTTGTTGGCTAGCTACTAGTATAAAGTATTTCGTTGAAGTTCCAGAATTTTACAATGAAAATGATGGAAATATGGCCCAGGGCCTACTAAAATCAACCTAGATCATTAATACCTTTCAATGGACAAGAGTGTGAAGTGTGACAATTCCATTTCTCAATATGTAGTAGATTTTCTCCTCTTGCCAACAATTTTTAAGTGTACAGAAAATGCTCAAAAGTGTGTGTGCATTTAGGTTGTGCAGAGCCCCACTATGTGTGCTATATCTGATAGTTCCAAGATAATGGCAGCCATAATTTATTACCTACTGTGTTTTAAGCACTGTGCTAGAGTAGGAGAAAATGTCATTCAGTGCTGTATCCTCATCATATAGTTGATGTTTAATGGATACTTGTGATTGAGGCGGTCATTTATTTGTTTGTTTTTGTTTTTGTGGTAACAGGGATTGAACTCAGGACCTTGCACTTGCCAGGCAGGCACAGTGCCACTGAGCTACATCCCTGGCCCCTAAGCAGCCATTTATTCAATCCTCACAGCCAACACATGAAGTAGATATTATTTACTGCTTTCACATGAAAGAGAAAACTGAGACTTTGGCTGGTTAGGATTTGTCCAAGGTGTCAAGGCTAAAATGATGCTATATTGTGCTCACTTCAGCAGTACATTTACTAAAACGATGCTATATTTCATGAATGTCATAGAGATTCTTTTTTTCTTGCTATTTTTTCTTTACTTTTTATTAGTATATATTTGTAATGCATAATAAATGCATTCATCATGGGGAATTGGTACATACACATATCACCTCTTGATCCTTTTTTTACTCTCCCTAACCCCCCACCCTGCATCTCCCTCTGCTCCCACCCCATCTCCACAAAGCCTGTCTCCCTATTTCCTATCATCTATCTTTTTTTTTTGCTCTTTACAGTATTCATATTTTAGGTTTCTTATGAGAAACCATGCAATATTTAACCTTCTGGGTCTGATTTATTTCACTCAGCATTATGGTCTCAAGGTGAATTCATTTTTCTACCACTGACTCATTTATCCTTCTTCCTGTATCCCATTGTGTATATATACACCACATTTTCTTTGTCCATTCGCCTGTTGGTGAGCATATAGGCTGCTTCCAAAATTTAACTGTTATGAATTGTGCTGCTATATATGAGTATATTTGTGTCACTGTAAAATGATGTCTTTAACTCTTTTAGGAAAATACCCAAAAAAGGTATAACTGGATGGGAGGAAATTTCTGTTTTTAGTTTCTTGAGGAATGAATCCCCATAGTGATGTCCATAGTGGCTGTATTTGTTTACATTCTCACCAACAAAAAGGTTTTTTTTGTTTTGTTTTGTTTTTTGGGTTTTTTTTTTTTTTTTTTTTTTTTTTTTTTGGTACCCAGGATTGACCTTGGGACCTTGCACTTGCAAAGCAGGTGGTGGCACCACTGAGCTAAATCCCCAGCCAAAAAGGTTCCTTTTTCTCCACAACTTCTGCAGCATTTGTTGTCTTTTGGTCCTTTAAGATAACCATTCTTTCTGGAGTAATGTAGAATCTCAGTAAATATCAGTATTTTATAAAATACATGAGGGAAAATATTTTCCAAATAAAAATAAATGATAGATTGGGATTTTTGCTCATTAAAGAACTTCTGAGGCTTATTTTCAGCCCCAGAACCAGTTCTGAGGTGCCATAGAACTGTACTGCTCACAGAAGACCATCCCAGCTTCTGCAGGCTTCATTAATTGTTGAGATTGCCACCCTTCTTCATTAATGCATAGTGACTGGATTAGTTAAGGTCAGATATGGTTGGAACTCAGCCTCCTAAATTCTGTTCCTTTCTTCAAGTTTTTTTCTCATCTTCCTGGCTTGGTGCTTTACCCTTTAAATATCTCCTTTAACTTGACCATTATGTACAAGAATAAAATGCCATCTTCTTTTGGGTAGCTTAGCTTAGGAGTCAGATATTTTCCTCCACTGAGAGAAAATAATTCATGAGACATATTTCACCTGATTCTCTTCTTTATCATTAGTTATATACTAAAATGTCCTGAGCTGGGAATGTGGCTCAGAGATAAGAGTGTTTTTCTAGCATGTATAAGGATCTGAGTTCATTCCCTAGCAACAAAAAACAAGTGTCTTTTACTTTTTAAAGTTCATTTTAATCTTGGAAATTTCCAGTAGGGAATACAAAGCGTAATTTTATACCTATCTAATATAGGACTTGCTTTTGTTTTTGTCCAGGTCATTATTTAAGGGTAAGGCATTTGTTTTATTTTTAGTCTACTCCAGATGGTATTCATATGCCTTCCTATCTTTTCCTCAGTCTGAGATACTACTAGTCATAAATACAGTTGGTTAAAAAACATTTATTGAGCTGAGTTACCAAGCTAAGATTTGAATTAAAAGACTTCCTTAATTCAAATATTTTGCTTTGCATAATAGTGATTAGCTTTGCCTTTGTTCAAAAACATGTGAAATGTTTCACTACTCAGATAAACTTCTACATTTATTCACTTATCAAAAATTTGCTTTTGCCTGCTAAATGCCAGGCATTTTCCACATACTAGAAAAATAAGATAAATAAGACAGAGTCCCTGCCCTTGAGGACCTTAGAGTACATTAGGAAAGATGGACATGTTAAGAACAATGTAAAAAACAATATGATGGGGACCGGAAATTTAGCTCAGTAGTTCCCCTGCCTGCCTAGCAAGTGCAAAGTTCCAAGTTTGATCTCCGGCACAAAAAAAAAAAAAAAAAAAAAAAAAAAAAAAAAAA